AGCAGAAGATATTGCTGAAAGCTCTCAGAGGCATCTTGACTCTGACATCTCTCAAGTTGCCTTGGACAGGCAGACTCTTGAAGAGCTGAAGCAAAATGATCTGCGTCTGCAGGCAAGGATGGATGAGAATGATCAGAGGATGAAGGAAAGGATGGATGTTCAGGATAGCAAGATTGACGCTGTAGCCAGTGTGGTAAATCAGCAGAAGGAAACTACTGATCAGATTAAGAGCATTCTAGAGGATCTGTTTACACGCCTCCCTCCTGCTCCTTAGATTTTATTTCTTGCTGTTTTCAGTATTTTTTTCTTGCATATCATCTGTACTATTTTCTGGCTCTGAACTAAATACAAGCGTTTTTCTGCACTGATTCTCTTAATTTCATTTTCTTTCACTTATTCAATTATTTTCACTTTTTGATTGCTGACAAAAAGGGGGAGAAAGACTGATATTTTTCAATAACGGTTTACTGAGACAAAAGTCTCAAACATTCTAACACTCTGATACACTTGAATGTTTTTGTTCTGCATAGCTTACAGGTACAAGAATCTGATGAACTCTAATACACTGAAGCTCTGATGTTCTGATGTTCAAAGAAAGTCAATGAAGATCTGATCCTAAAGAACTCATGGAATTAAAGGGAAGTAATAAATTCAGGGGGAGTCTTCTTTCCAATCTTAATTCTGATACCCCTCTATCCCTTATCTTCTTATCTGTGATAACTGCCTATTTAATTCTGATACAATTTATTTAGTTATCTCTGATACTTTTCTCGTTAATTTTCAATTGAAAAAATCTAGTTTTTGTCATCATCAAAAAGGGGGGGATTGTTAGAACAATGTTTAAATCTACTACCCTAAGTTAAAGTTTTGATGATAACAAAATGCAAGATTATATAAATTGTATAATTCATGTGAGACATATATGCTACCTAAAAATTATATTTTGTTTCACAGAAACTCTGATAAGTATCAGCATGAGAACATCATCATCAGCATCAGAAGATGATATATCAACATCAGCATCAGAAGATGTTATATCAGATACCAGAATCAGAAGATCAAAGCATGTGCTTACGCTGAAGCTTGATGAACAGATTTGCGCATAACAATCTATACTCTGATCAAGACCGAACAATTCATCAGCATCTAGCAGCGTCAGAATAAGCCAAAGCCAGAACACGCTAAATTGGCAACGGTACTGTGCATTCAAGATCATTTATTCTCAACGGCATTATTCCAGACAAAGATCTTCTAAGTATGGAAAGAATGTTATTGGCATTGAAACAGAATAATTGATCCAACGTATCATTTTCCAATGCTATATAAACAAGCAAATGAGGAACGAATTGGCTAATGCTCTACAACTCTCTACACGCCTAAAGCGATTCATATTCATCCTTATTCTCAAAGTTTGCTAAAGCTCTCAATTACTTATTCTATTGTTTTAGCATTCTAGTTCCCTTAAGCTTAAATTGTGTAGTATCACGGTTTGTGATAAACAGTTTTGTAGAAAACATTCATACACACTCTTTGTTCAATTATCTGTAAGAAAGATTTCCTTGAGAAACCGATTTGTGGTTTAGACTCAAGAAGGCTTTAGCAGTTGTTAAAGCAGTTGTAATATTCAGTTGAATATAGTGGATTAAGACCTCGTTGGAGAGAGGCGAAATCACCTTGACGGGTGGACTGGAGTAGTTTGAGATCAAATGAACCAGGATAAAAATAACGTGTTGACTGCAATTGTTTTTCAAGTTTTACAATTCAAACCCCCTTCTTGTGTTTTTCACTTCTTCATGTTGACATCTATGTTTAAAAACAACAATAATAACATAAACAACAATAACAAAAACAACAACAACAACATCAAGATCATAAACAACAACCACAACATAAACAACGACAACAACAACCTCTTTATTCATCAACAAGAAAAAAATTCACAACAATGGCAAATGAGTTTACTGTAGATGTATATGGAAAAAGTTTTACGTACTGTAAATGTAATGATTAAGTAAAGGAGAGTATTACGTTGGTGTTGTCTTCCTTCCCGACGATGGCGATGACGATGGTGTTGGTGTTGTCTTCCTTTCCGGCAATGACGATGGTGCTCGTGTAGTCTTCCTCCTCGACGTCGACGATCGTGTTGGTGTTGTCAACCTCCTCGACGAATATGACCAGTAAAGAGTGACAATATCAAAGTATTGGACGAAAATGAACAATAAACAGTGAACTATCGTGTTAGGGTTGAAATCGTGTATCGTTTCACGGTATTGAAGGTTAGGGTTGTTTCATCTTGTTTCTTTTTTCAACGGAAAAATGGAAACCGAAGAGACATGCTACCTAGATGTATATAATATTTAGAAAGATACCACCACGGTCCAAACTCTAAACTGTAATGATATATTATTTGCATAATGAAATTTCATAAAGAAGCGTCAGTGTTTAGCCATTTAAAATTTTTAAATAAAAAACAAAATATATCACACCGGTTGAACTAACCAACCGTTGTGCTATTTCTTTTATTATTTATTTAAAAATAAATAAAAAATAAAAGGCGCGCCTTAATGTTAAAGGTATACAATACTTGAGCGGCTGAAGTTCGAACTCATGAAAGCATGAATATATCACCACAATCAATTAAATTATTATTATTATATCCTAACAATTATTAATTAAAAAATAAAAAAATATTCGCGTCTCAGTTTATATATTTCACCACGTGTTTGAAAGAACTGTGATGACTTTAGTATTGTTGTATGCGTTTTATAGTAATGTATATAAATATATAAATAATGGTAATATCATTTTATTTAAATAAATTTAATTATATTTAATTATATCAATTGTATTTAATTATATTTAAATATATCACTTGCATTTAAATAAGTTTAAATGTGTTTGAATAGATTTTTTATTTTAGACAAATCATATGTTAGACTATTAATGCAGAGATTCTTTATATATTTATATATAGAGCAAATTACATGAATAAAAATAAATCGATCAATTCCTTTTATTTTTATTATTATTATTATTATTATTATTATTATTATTATTATTATTATTATTATTATTATTATTATTATTATTATTATTATTATTATTATTATTATTATTATTATTATCATTATTATTCAAATTATTATTTTACTAACTATTTTTTGTTACATAAAGTTTAATCCATAAATTTTCAAATGAGTCAACTTTAATTATTTTATTTTATTTTATTTTATTTTATTTTATTAACTCTTTATATTTATTATTCAAATTCAAATCGATCAAAATAAAAATTATTAATTGATCTATAAAAATCTGAAAGTTTAGAAAAATTAAATATTATTGAATGTATTTGAATATCATTTTGTAAAAGTAGTTTGTGTCAAATGATATTTTTAATAGATTTTTTAAAACCGAATTGAATGTTTATATTTTAATATTTATTTATTTATTATTACTATGATATATATTGCATTTATTTATTGTTCATTGATATTTATTTTTTAAAATAATCTATTTGTTTAATCTATTTATTTTTATTATTTTATTTATTTTTATTCATAATCATTTAATTTTCTTTTCTAATATTACTTTTTAATATTTTATATATTATTTATTACATTAAACATATTATTTTATAGTATTTCATAATATTAATAAATAATATATATGCAAATTGGTTATCAAAAAATTGATAAAAAATTTAATTCCATGAAATTGGATGATCAGATTGAATTTTTAAAAACTATTTAAATTAGGGGTGTTCGCGGTTCGGTTTGAATCGGTTTTAAGATGAAAAATCATCCGATCCAAAGATAAATTTACTTGCGATTCGATTCGGTTTTGGATGATATATTAAAAAAATCCAATCTGATCCGATCCAATTTTATGCGATTTAATTTGGATCAGTTTTTAGATATCCAAATTAGATATTATATTTTTATTAATATTATAAAACTACAAATAAATCATAGATTTGATATACTATATAACATATAGTATATTAAAAGTTAATATTATAAAATGAGAGTGGTTGATTATGATTGAAATAATAAAAATAAATAAATTATACCAAGCTAATAACTATTATTAAAAAAATTATTATCATCTAATAATAATTTCACATAACATATCATACTAATAAAAAGTAAATAAGTATAAAAATATATGTGCGGTTTGGTTTGGTTTGGATCGGTTTTGAAAAATTAATCCGAAATTCGATCCGAACTGATCGGTTTTCACAAAATAACATCCAAACACATCCAATAAATTTCAATTTTTTGCGGTTTTCGATTTTTTGGATCAGTTTTCGATTTTTTATTTGAATTGGTTTGAATTTGAACACCCCTAATTTGAATACAAACACCTATATATTCTTCATTACTCATTATTATTTAAATAATAATTTCTTTAACTCTTAGTTATTATTAAAATTTTCTTTTTAATTTTTTCCTTGATCACATATTTGTCCAAATTCATTCAATTCAACATTCAACTTAATTTGTTATATTTCCCTTTAAAGGCCATTGAATAAAATTAATGTTTTAAATAGAACATTCTGAATTGCTATAATACTACCTAAAAAAATACCATAAAAGGTATTTCATATGTTTGCCAGGCAACTTTCCGAATATATGAAATAATTTGTAGATTATATTTTTTAATTAAAAGTAATTTTTAAACACGAGTATTCCATAATTAACACGATTTGGTTTTATTTTTGAAAATAAAAACAGCACATTATGGGTGTTGCCTTGATATGTTACCATCTTTTCCATATTTTTCAATAAATGCACCTGATTTCTTGCCAAAAAAACCATCAAAATTAATTAAAATAAATTAAATTAATTTAACATAAATGTCCATCGGAAAATGTAGAAAGAATTTAATCACAATAGTGGACTCAATTACAAATTCACAATGGCTGTTAGACTAAAAAAAATCTCTAAACTGGGTTATAAAAGCGAGTGAAACTAGACATTTGAATATCACTCAGAGAAAAAATGGCATCGTCCATTTGTCACATGATAATATTACTGTTTATTTTTGTTTTTCTGCAAGATACCCTAGCAATTAAACAGGCATGATTTTCCCAACTTTTCATTGTTAAATCTCTTTCTCAATATAATGTTTTTACTTATATATTTTGATTTTCATATTTGAGTGTTTAAGTGTATGGTCTAATATTCGATAATTCATGTTTATTTTGTCACAGTCCTATATTGTATATTTAGGATCACATTCTTTTGGTCCAAATCCTTCATTATTGGATTCTGAGTATGTCACAAACTCTCACTATGACTTACTTGGATCTTTCCTTGGAAGGTATGAAACTACACAACCCTAAAATTAAGTGAATTAGTTTGCGTGGTTAATTATGAAATGATGATAGTTAATTTATTTATTTCACACAGTACTGAGAAGGCTAAAGAAGCAATATTTTACTCTTACAATAAAAATATTAATGGATTTGCTGCAATGCTTGATGAAGATGAAGCAGCTGAAATTGCTAGTAAGTACTTACATTAATTCATGAATTTATCTTTCATATTGCAAAATGTTATTTTATTTTAATCTTTTAATCGTTGCTATATATTAATATTTTTTGATTAATATAGAACACCCCAATGTTGTATCAATATTCTTGAATAAAAGATATGAACTACACACAACCCGGTCATGGGAATTCCTTGGATTAGAGAGGGGAGGTGAATATCCTAATGATTCACTTTGGAAAAAAACATTGGGTGAAGACATTATTATTGGAAATTTGGACACAGGTAATGAAATATAATTTAATGTTTTTTATGATATTTTTATTTAATTGAATATTTTGATTTTAATTTCTTTTTGTTTTTGTTGTTGATAGGTGTTTGGCCAGAATCCAAGAGTTTTAGTGATGAAGGATACGGGCCAATTCCAAAAAAATGGAAAGGAATTTGTCAAGTTACCAAAGGAAATCCAGATAAATTTTATTGCAACAGGTCACATTTTTTCGATATTGCATTTCATCTAACTATTTTTGTTGGAATGCTGAAATTTTAATTTTTGATGAAATGAATTGAACAAACAATGAAATACAAGTTCCTTATAGCTCGTGTTTTAACTTTCATTACAATTGTAGGAAGCTTATTGGAGCAAGATATTTTGCAAAAGGCTATCTAGCAAAAGGAAAGCCGAATGTAACAATTGACAGCGCACGCGACACTGAAGGCCATGGCTCACATACTTTATCAACTGCTGGAGGTAACTTTGTTGCTGGAGCCAATGTATTAGGGTTTGGAAATGGAACAGCAAGTGGTGGATCACCAAAAGCAAGAGTTGCAGCCTATAAAGTCTGTTGGGATGGATGTTATGATGTTGATATTTTGGCCGCTTTTGAAGCTGCCATAAGTGACGGTGTTGATGTACTCTCTGTGTCCTTGGGTGGAAGTATTCCATCAGAGTTTTTGGAAAGTGCTATTTCCGTAGGTTCCTTCCATGCAACGGCCAACAACATCGTTGTTGTCGCTTCTGGAGGAAATTCAGGACCTGAACCCTCATCTGTAGCAAATTTGGAACCATGGACTTTCACAATTGCTGCTAGCACAATTGATAGAGACTTCACTAGTTATGTTATTCTTGGTAACAAAAAGATATACAAGGGATCTAGTCTTTCAGAGTTGGATTTACCACCACATAAATTATATCCATTGATAAGTGCTGTAGATGCCAAATTTGATAATGTGCCTCCTGCCTTTGCGTAAGAATTCTCGTTTTCATTTTGTTCAAACTAACTTTTCCAAATACTGATATATATTCTAATCCATTTAATTTGTGTAGCTCTACTTGCAAAGAAGGATCTCTTGATCCGAAAAAGGTTAAAGGAAAAATATTGGTATGTCTTCGAGGGGATGGTGCTAGAGTTGACAAGGGCGTGCAAGCTTCTCGTGTAGGTGCTATTGGAATGATATTGGCTAACGACAAGGATTCAGGAAATGGAGTTATAGCAGATCCTCATGTTCTTCCCGCGACAAATGTTGGCTTTGCAGATGGCAGTGCCATTTATAATTACATCAATCGCACAAAGTAATAGTTCTCATCATGCCTTTGATATTACACTTTGGATTTTCACAAAATTGAATTTTATATTTTATATATCTACTGTGTAGGTCTCCTGTGGCTTACCTTACTAAAGTTAAAACACAATTGGGGGTAAAGAACACTCCAACCATTGCTTCATTTTCGTCGAGAGGTCCAAATGGCCTTGACCCGACAATCCTTAAGGTTTGTTAAAACTTGCAACAGTTATATAATTCAATTATGATTTAGATTATCTTACAACAAATTGTGAATGTGATTGTATATTTTAATTTTGTACTTCAGCCAGACATCACTGCCCCAGGCGTCAGCATAATTGCAGCGTATACTCTAGCGACATCTCCTACGGAACAACCATCTGATAAGCGTAGAGTTCCTTTTTCTACCATGTCAGGCACTTCAATGTCATGTCCGCATGTTTCCGGACTAGTTGGACTAGTTAAATCTGCTCATCCAGATTGGAGTCCAGCTGCTATCAAGTCAGCGATCATGACCACATGTAATCAAATTATTACAAGATCTTTGATTTCATTTTCATATACTGTTTTATTTATATTATTTTCACTTTTTACAGCAACAACAAAAACCAACAACGGAGTGCAATTGTTGGATTCATCACTTGAAAAGGCCACTCCTTTGGCATATGGTGCAGGGCATGTTCGACCTAATCTTGCAGTGGATCCTGGACTTGTATATGACCTGAATGTTACTGATTATTTGAACTACTTATGTGGTCGTGAATACACCAGTGATCAACTTAAAGTGTTCTACGGAAAACCTTACACTTGTCCAAAATCTTTTAGTTTAAAAGATTTCAACTATCCATCCATCACAATCTATGAATTTAGGAAAATTTGGAAGACTTACAGTGTTACTCGTACACTTACCAATGTCGGGTCCCCAAGTACGTATAGAGCGGAGATCGAGGAACCTCTACAATTTCAAGTCACTGTTGAGCCTAAGATATTAACATTTAAACAAAAGGGTGAGAAGAAAGAGTTCAAGGTTACATTCACTTTGAAACCAGGCAGTAAATATATTTCTGATTTTGAATTTGGGAAGTTGATTTGGACCGACGGAAAGCATCGTGTTGGGACTCCTATTTCCATAAAGTACCCTCATTAGTGATTTTTACATTGATGTTTTATGCATTTTGATAGAGCTGTCACTCTTTTTTTTCAGCTTTCAATAACGTGACATGTTTTGTTAAGGTTGTGAAAATAATATATCAATGTTGTTTTAATGTTATCTTATGATAATTGTAATAAAATGAGGAACTATAAATATTTGAATACAATATAATAATGGAACATATTCTTTCAAAAATAATTTTTAAATAGTAATTTAAATTATAGAAGTGGTAAAAAGTAATAGTATATAACTGTAAATAAATACAAAAAACGTGTATTTGGATTGCTCATACAGATAGGGTTTAATAAGTTGGACGATACTTATTTTACCATCTTCAATTACATTTATTGAGGTGTCCATCTTTCTTCTCAAGATTACCATGATAATGTAATCTCGTTCAGTTATCAATCAAATTCGATGTTGTTTCATTTCTCTCATCTTCGCTTCCAATTCTTCTCCAAAACTTGTTTGTATCTTCATTCTCTAACCCTAACTCCTCATTGGCAATGGCTTCCCTCGAAACCATCGTTGAATCAACAACAAACCCCCGCCATCTAGATCCTCTTTCCTACAAATATCAACACCAACACCACTCAATCCTCTACCACCCACAACAAGCAACATGACATGCTAGACACGTAATTTATGCATCATAACGACATCACAGGTCTAGCCATCGTCTAATTCCTTCTAAACAATTTCAACTATCTTGGACTAGAGCAATATTTGTAGCCATGCGTTCTGAAAACAAAACAGGGTTCTTTGATGGAATCCCTAGTTTGTCCTACTGAAATTGTCAGCCTTTCTTGGGATTGATGCAACACTATGGTTATGTTGTGGATGACCAAGTCCATTGAAGGAGAAATTACTCAAAGCGTCTTTTCACTATAAGAAAAGTTGTCTCCAGCCACGTGATTTAGTGACATGAAATTCACATGACTACAAAGGAGAGTTGCGAAGTGAAAATTGTTGAAAATCCACTAAAATTTATGGAGAATTTCTATCAATCTTGATGAACAAGATTATTATCAATATACAATAATAATGAAAGAAAGAGTTACGGTTTGACAAATTTGGAAAAGAAGATGATTTTCTGCATAATTTCTCCCTGCCAACAAACTTTCTTATTCACTTTGCAACTGCAAAATTCTATAAATACTAGTTACGAGTCATTACAAAATAGGAGTCACTTCCTCTATTTATAACTGAGCTTGATTGCTCTCTAAGTCAAAGCCCAAAAATATAAAAACTCTAAATAACTATTTAGACTTAAGTGGAAATCCTGTGTCAATCAACCTTCTTCGACACTTTGGCAACAAAACACAACTCGACACACACTATATGTTTCCACACAGCTTTGCTTCTGTCGAGCTCTACTTACGTCGACACAAAGGAGTACAATCTCAACACACCACCTAATTCATTGTGTCTAAGCTATCTACATTCATCATAACTCTAAGTCTCTTAAACACTTTGACTCGCACTCCTTTCGTCATGATGTATGTAATCTGATTCTCGGTTCTTTAGTATTTCAAGTTCATCTTTCTATCTGCTACCTGCTCACGAAGATAATGGAATCTCATTTCGATGTGCTTGTTTCTTCCATGTGCTATTGGATTCTTCGTCAGATTGACAGCTGACATGTTGTCGATATTCATGGTAATTGCTCCATGATCCTTTAATGTGATCTCTTCGACCAAGTTCACCATCCATGTTGTTTGATATGCACAAAGAGAAGGAAATATGTACTCCGCTTCATATGACAATAATGCCACTATTGGTTCTTTTCTCGAACTCTAAGCAGCTGGTGCACCACCTATCATAAACGCATAGCCATCTGTGGATTTTTGATCATCAACATCACTACACCAACTTGAATGAGTGTAATCCACTAGTTTATATTATTTTCCTTTATCAACGGTAGGAAACAGAATGCCATAGTCGAGAGCTCCTTTGAGATATCTTACTACCCTCTTCATCGCTGCTAGATATGATACCTTTGGCTTCTGCATGAATCTACTCACCTTACCCACACTGTATGCTAGATCAAGCCTTGTCTGACAAAGGTACCTTAATGAACCAAAAAGTCTTCTATACTGAGTTAGGTCAACACCATATTCACTTGAGTCTTTGATCTCTTTCTTGCAGCTACCTGTTATTAACAAGTCATCGACATAGAGACATAGTATAAGCAATTCACTATTTCTTCTTCTTACATATACTCCACGCTCAACTGTACACTTCACAAATTCCTTCTCCCTTAGGAAACTGTCAATCTTCTTATTCAAAGCTCTTGGATCTTGTTTAAGTCCATACATTTCTTTATGCAACCTGTACATCTTTCTTTCTTCGCCTGGTTTCACAAACCCAACTGATTGTGCAACATAAACTTCTTCATCTAAGGGGCCATTTAGAAATGCATATTTCACATCCATCTGACATATGTGTTAACTGTTCATTTCTTCTAGACCAACAATCAACCTGATTGTTTCGATCCTAACAAGAGGTGCAAAAACTTTATCAAAGTCGATTCCTTCTTTTCAAAGAAATCCTTTCGCCATAAGTATTGCCTTGCATCGAGTTACTTCCCCTTTCGGATTCAACTTCAACCTATATACTTATTGTTATTTTAAGTGTCACATGCAACTATACATGTTGTAATTACAAGAAGTAGTAAGTATAAGAGTATCGTACCCATGAGGAGTAAATTTACTTAGATTATATTTTTGTATAGAAACTATTCTTTTGATTTAAGCATGAGCAAAGAGAAATAATGATTGGTATTTATGAGTTCAAGTTCATTTAAAAAAGATGTCAAAAGTAAGGTGAAAGGAAATGGAAATATATTAAGAGTGATTGAGTTGAGCTATGTTCCATTAATATCATTAGTGTATTCAAGTGTTTATGACATGTGGTGTTGTGACTGGTGAGGTCACAGTGATCTTGTGGTGTATCTCTATAACATCAAAGCATGCATAACAAGGGAAATGAAACAAATCTCTAAGCCTCACTTATAACCCTAATATGCATCTATTAGTATTCTGAAATTTTCAACAGTTTTAGCTTCTTATCTCTAAGTAAGCTAAGAAAGTAAATATCTCTATCCTACTCATTCAACCATTTTTATTAAGAAAATCACTTGTTATTGGACCTCGCAGAACAACAAGCTATCATCTACTCCTAAGTTGATCAAGCAAAAGTTTAAACTTATAATAGACTAACATATAATAAAAGAAATCACTTAACCACACACCATATAACATGAAAATACTTTAATATTAATTTCACATTGCTCAACTACAAAAGGTTTAGCTCGTAGTGAGCTGAGTACAAGCTACAAAAATGGTTCTTAATATGAATATCTCTTAAACAATAAATGAAGAAAAGATATAGACCTAAAAGAGACTTGGGAAATGACTTGAGACAACTAGTCTTCAAGAGATATCTTCAATCGTGTCATTACTCATCAGTTGATACATGATTGGGCGAGGAAAGAAACTCTTGCACACTCCACTATCCACACACTCAAAATCTTGGTCTCCTTCTCTTAGAAAAATCAAACTCCCTTTCATTTCTCATTGCAACTCTATTTATACATCAAGGATTAGGGTTTGTATTGAACTGGATCATGGGCCTAATATGAGGAAATCACATCAAGCCCTTAGCTTCTTGCAACAATTATTTCTCTTTTCCTCTACATCCTTCTAACTTCTTCAGCTTGTACTCCATGCAATAGACCACTATTGTCTTGCATCAGCTTGACTTTACTAACCTTTTACTTATAAAAAAATATTAATAATAAAATGGGAGAATCTATTGTGCTCCAAACTAAACAAATAAAAACAACTAAAATGCAAGAAATTAAAGCTATAAAACTAATAAAATTAAACTATTAAACTAATTCAATAAGTGACCAAGTGTTGTTGACTTCAGTGGACTTCAACCCCTCATTATTAGCTTTCACGCACTTCAAATTCTTCAATGCCTCATCATCATTGACTGGTTCGACAGCTGCATAGAAAGCATAATGTATCATATCAACTTCATTATCGACCACATCATCTGATGTAGTTACACATTTCTTCAACCTTGCAAGCACATGTCTCGTTCTTTAAGGTCTCCTTGGGCCTGCTTCACCTCTGACTTCTTCCTGTCGAACTTCTTCTCTTTCAAATTCTAGTGGCTTGTTCTTCACATAAGATTCTCACTAAATCTTTGTTTACATTTTCAGTCTAATCCCATTCCTTAACTCATGTATGATCACGTCCCCGCTGATCACTACTTGCTTGTTCACTGGGTCGAAAAACTTGTAATCTCTAGTTGAATGATATATGATCAAACTTGCAGTACAATCAAACGATTTGGGTAAGTATATGTTTTACCGTATCCACATGTATTAGTGTGATACCAAAGTCCAATCAATGGATACTATCATTTATACGTGGTTGTTGTTTACAAATGGTTTGAAAGCGAAAAGGTTGCAGAATGTAAAGCGGATGAAAGATAAATAAGGTTTCAGAGAGAAGATAACTTATCTTGATTGGATTTCATTCACCCATAGAATATACATTTTACCAATCAGCTAAATACAATCTAAGCATTCATCAATAACATCATGTATCACCCACAACAGAGGTCATGTCTATCTCAAAGTTGAGATATCAACCGTATTGTCTAATCGACAATCTCCCAACCTATCAAACAATACAGAAGCATTAAGAGTCAATACTCCATGTGAATGTTAAACATAAATCTACCTCTATCATTTAGCATCGAACGAAGACTTATCTTATATTCAGATTCAAATTGTATTTCTCAATAGCAATTCAAATACAAGAGCTTAAACAATGCAACAAAGATACCCTCGATATTAAATCAGGAAAAGATTACTAATAACACCATGATTAATAAAAACTTATTACAATATCTATTATCCTAATCTTATCATGTGGACTAACTTATTCATCTCTATAATCACGTATCACTCATCAACA